TAACAAGCAAACATGCTGGAACCACCAGGCGTGGTTGTTTCTGACCTAACGTGCCGTTGTTCACTCCTATTCTGCATTGTTTCTAGACTTATACCACAAACCAGCTCCTAAAAATTAAACTTAAAATATGATTCATGAAATATATAAGATACCCAATTAACTACCAAGTTTTGCTACTTCATTTCCATCCAAAACTGGAAACTAGGTATGGGAATGTATTCAAACTGTTTTAAGGCAGAAATGCCACATTGTGCAAGACAGTATTGACATTTTTTTTACTGATCAACATTCTTAGTGTCTGGGGCACTAAGAATTCTGATAGCTTGGTGTGTTAGTTAATTAAAACATGAACTAAAGGCAATATTATTAATGACGATGCCATGCAGAAGAAGCAACCCAAAAGTCTAGGGAGACTGAGGTTCGAACGTGACTTAGCCTGTGAAACCGTCTCATCCAGACTCTAGATCACTGCTTCTCAGCCTTCCTAAGGCTGCGACCCTTTAACGCAGTTCCTCATGTTGTGCTGATCCCCGGCCATAAAATTATTTCTTTGCTACTTCAGAACTGCAATTTTGCTACTGTTGTGAATCGTAATGTAAATTACTGATCCCAGTGAAAGGGTCTGTTGACCCCCAAAAGGGTAGTGACCCACAGGTTGAGAACTGGTCCTTCAGCTTCTCGAAGGAGATTCAGAGAGTCCTTTTTCCAGCCCATGTGAAGCACGTTTCCGAGGAGACCATGGACCTGCTTGAGCAACTCCACAGTGGCTATGGGCTGTGGAAAAGACCATATTGGGAGGTGTTGCCACTGAAATGGAATCCTCAGATTCATGAAGAGGATGATGACAGAATGGCCAGCTTGAATTCCAGCCACACCTCAGTCAACTTTTTTTCAAAATTACTTAGGACTGGAGGAAGTTCCCTGCCCAAGCTAGGAGCACTGTGATGGCATCCTCTTTCCAACTTTATCTTCTAGACTGAAAATAGAAAAAAAAAAGTCCCGGCTAAAAACATTAGGTCAGGTAAGGCAGTTCATGGCTAATCTCATCCCTCATGGCACTGCAGCTGGAGGATTGCTGTGAGTCCGAGGGCAGCCTAGGCTACAGAGGGATGCTGTCTCACCTCGTGATTTAGGTTATTGTTGGTAGAATTAATCGCTTTAGAAACGAGACTGGACTAATGCTACTCAGAGGTAGAGTGCTTGCCTAGCCTGCTTGGAGACATGGATCTAGTTCGAAGTAGTGAGATAAAAATAAAAAGCAAAGCCGAGCAAAGAAAGCAACAGTGAACATGAAGAGGGTGGAGGAATCCACGCACAGGGATATTTCTGCAGAAGTCGTCTATCAGCTTACAATGCTTGAGTGTTTCCTTGATCCAAGGAGCAGACTGAACAAGATAGTGTTCAAAGCCTCTCTCAAACAGTTCCACGTGTTCCCAAAGAGGGAAGAGAGTGTCAGAGGAAGGAAAAGAACTTCTGAGTTGCATGATAATGCTTTGGACACGACACGGTAAGCAACTTGGATGTGTGAAGAACTCATTTCCAACACACATCCCAACACTGACTACAACACGAAGACACCTCATATATACGTTCAGATGAGTTCACCCCAGCTTGAGCATGCCGTCTGCTGTGTCTGACATGGAGATGTCTTAACTATTTGGGAAGCTTTGACTTGAGTGTGAAATAGCATCAGAGACATCGAGTAGAGGTGGGAAGGCTGCCTCGTGGTTTCGTGCATCGAATTTCATCTTGGCTGCATCCCTCAAGGGAAATGTGGCTACCCTTTGCCTTGGATTTGGAGGCTAAGAAGAGTCTAGCAGACAATATCATCCTTCCCCTTCCGGCTGCAGAGTCACTTTAAGGGGTTGTCATAACCAGGTAGCATAATTATTGATCAAGCCACAGTCATTTGCAGATGGAGTTCCTCCTCCTTAGGGGATTGGTATCTGACAGGCAATCTGGAGGCTTGGCCTCAAAGTGTCTTTGGAGCTCGTTGTGGGAGGTGCAGTCCAAAGGTGAGTTTACACACGGGTGACTAAAGTTTCCTGTCACTGAGCATAAGAAGTCACTCATGAGCAGCGTCCCTAAACCACAGCTACAGGATGTGGGCACAAGCCCTTGTCTAATTGTTGGCCAAACGCCAGTGAGCATTCATCCCTGTGCAAATACTTGGGCTTTTGTGTGTGTGTGTATGTGTGTGTGTGGTGGTGGTGTTCTTAACATTTGAAAACCACAGGCATTAGCCTCTCTCTTTCTTCCCGTTGGCATAAGTCATCTTCTTTTCTCCAGCATGGTCTCTTGTCTGCAAAGAATTTCCAAGGAGCTTTTAAGCCTAAATTTAATACCTTTGCCCTCTCTCTGCTGCCCTATGGAATGCCAGGTTGGGGTAAAGCTACCTTACAAAACATCTTCTGGCTCCGCTGGCTTCCGCAGATTTGTTTGGGCGTTTTTTGATCAGATAGGAAATCAGAGTGTTCCATGAGTGACCTTAGCCTTTAAGAAAATAAAGGCAATTTCTGGAAATCCCCCCTAAACCACTGTGGTCTATTGTTTTCTTGCTTTTGAATTAACCCCGCTGTATGATACGAGGATCACAATGAAATTGTCCCTGGGAATAGAAGTGCTATATCGGACAGAGCCACTCAGTGGGTCAAAGAAAGGAATGGGAAAATTTAGTGTCATTCCAAAGTTGCCAAGAATTTACTGTCTTTTTTAAAGCATGTTTTCTAGTTTCTAGGCCTATGCTTCATGTTCCGTGAAATGAAAGCATTGGTTTGGCAGGTTTCTATCCTTCCTTAGCCCCAGGGCTCTGGAAAGCAACTACTTGAGTAATATTTCAACAAAGGGACCACGAAACTGGGACTCAAGGCCAAGGATCTGAAACACATAAGCTAGTTTCTCCTTTCTGTGTTACAAGATGGGCACATGTTCGGACACCAAAGCATCCGGCAGACCCCTGGGAAGTCAGGCATTACCAGCCCTTCACACAAATTAAGGTACGTGGCAACCTTACTTCTGGTCCCAAATGCCCCCATTCTGGCATGCAGAGTCAAACTACTCTACACCAGACAGCATGTTTTTAAATTGAAAAAAAAAAAAACAAACCTGGTAAGTAAACACGACTTGTTCTGTGTCAATAGTAGGAGATTTTTTTTTTTCTCTGAGATGCATCAGAAGACTGTGAGGGCTCCCTTGTTGGAAATTCAAGTAGATTCCAAAGGAAGCCTTATTAGAAATCTTGCACTGGGGAAAAGTGAAAGAAACAAAGATCAGATGAAAAACTCACCAAGCACCACAGGTCTGCGGTGATGTTTTCGCGCTAAGGTTCTCGTGTCCCATCCAGTTTCAACTTAGATTGATAACTGCCCTAGGGAAGTGCTAGGGAAGGTTTCAGATGGCAGAGGGATGACAGGAAAAAGCCGAGGCGCACACGTGGCTCCCCTGGTTTGTGGCTCTCAGGTGAGCATAAGGACAAAGAACCCAGTGCGAACACCAAGCATTAAATAAGAGGAGCTTCGTGTGACAAAGAAATAATTCATGTTGAGAACTGAATTGAGTTATTGTGGATGATGCCCATGGTCTTTGGCAGAAGTCACTTCATAGAGGCAGGAACTCAGTGTTTTCTGTGTCAGGGAGAGGGTCTGACATCATCTCACTGAGGCGCCACATCTGGGAAATAAGCGTATAAAGTGTCCCCATTATTAGATGTGAATATTAGATATTAGAAAATTAAGCATTAGGAAAGTTAAAGTAATTTTTCAGGAGCTCACAGGACTAATTCGGTTCTTTCCAAAACAGGTCTCTAGTTATCTGAATGCTTAGCAACAGTTGTTTAGAGAATAACAGGCCAATGGCCTCAAGGAATTGTATCGACTTCTCGGATACTATACTACACAAACCATTCCCAGTGTACATGGTCGCTAGTTATCTTTATATCAGGTCAGTCGCGGCTCCACACTTTAAGAAGTAGCCCTTCAATCTTTGGATATTTGACACTGGAAAGACTTTCTTTCTTACCATGAACTGCTACTCAAATTCCTGAGTCCTCACTTAGTGAATAACCCTGCTTTGGGGAGCTGATTTACTAATTAGTCAATGTCTTGTACAGATATCACTAGAGAGAGTTTGCAGGGAAGTTCTGTGCTCACTCTTCATCATACAAAACACAAATACCAGCTCTCTGAATTTACCAGTCTCCCCCTCCTCTCCTCCATTATGGGTAGCTTCTGCTAAGGGCGCTATACTGTGTCCTATTAGAAAGTCACTTGGGAGTGTCTGACTGAGCTTTACACGTGGGACAGGCATGCATGGGGCAACCCATCATCAGGAAAATCCTTAAATGGTAACTCAAGAGAAAAAGCTGGGCATTTCAGAGGCTTCTGCCAGTAAAGCCACTACCTGGAGGCATATGGGAATTTTCAGGCCACAATATGAAAATAATTTGCCAATAATATCTGCCTCAGAAGCACTGCCAGAGCAATTGAATGACTTTTCATTCCACTACTGTTGACAGGACAGCTAAGGATTGCAACATTTCCTCTCCCCGTCTCAATAGAAGTTCCTTGCCTTAGGGACTTGAACAATATTTGCCATCGTGGGGGGAAGAGGGAGGTGTGACAAAGAAAGATGAAGGAAGGAACAAAATAGTAATGGAAGTAAACAAAATAAAATAAGGGCTCTTCAGGTTCTGGTTTGGAATGTGTGTACCAGACTGATAACTGCCTGCTCCCAAGTCTTTGAATCTGAGGAAAAAAAGCTTTCTTTAAAAAAAAAAAAAGGAAACAGTGTAAAAGTAAACTTCAGAGGAGCCAAAGAATAAAATAGCTGGAACTTTCAACCTTAGCATCGAGGTAAGTGTCTCGACTTCGGGTCTCAGGAGAGGCAAAGGGCTTCTTGTGATGTTTATACTGATTGGCATTCAGAGCTTCCAAGCTAAGTTAAATGCAAGGTTTAATTTTTTTAAAGGAAGAAACCAAAAGAAATGAAATACTGTCGCAATTTGTTCAAAGTCAGAGATAAGTCAGGAGAACACCAGAAGAAATAGAAGGAAAAAGAGATGGGGATTAAATTAACGAAGACAGTATTTTGAAATCATGCCCCCCAATTCCTTTGAGATAGTGAACCTGTTAGAGGAGAAAGCCAGTCCCAACCTCACTCTAACCCTGGGGCTCTTGCTTCTTCTGTGTCCTATGCTGACATTCCACAAAAGATGTCCTTGGAAGAGGAGACGTCGTTAAAATGAATACTTGAAAATAATGCTGCAAGTAGAATGAGCTGTTGGCCAGGATTGACGGACAGTGTTATGATCAAATTGTGCTTTAGAAACTGACAGGAGGTGAAGGCCTAATTGAAAAAGCCTTGGAGTGGAGCTCCTAATTAAGAGACCATGTTAACAATTGAAAACCTGATCCAACACTGTCGGTGAACGATGGAATTGAGAAGGAGGCTGTGGGTGGTTTTTGATGTTTCATTCATCTTTTTCTCGTCAATGCTAAGAATCAAGTTCAAGGCTTTCTACAATTTGGGAAAGCACTATGCTATTGAGTTATACATATAGTCTTAGGAGAAGGTATTTTAAGTTTGGATACAAGGTTATGCCACATATCCATGTTTTATTATGGAATGCATTTGACTTAGATTTCAAGCCAGTTGAAATCGGTAGGTTTGAGGAGTGGATTATATAAAAGAAACAAAATGTTCTGGATTTGGGAAGTGATTAATGTAAGGCAGCACCAGAAAGGCCGACGCACGGATGAGTGGAAGATATAGGGTGTATTCTGAGCCTTGGGAGAAATATGAGAAATACAACTGTGGATGAAAATGTCCTCATAATGGCAGCTACAATAGGGGAACCAGTGAGAGCCTCGTGAGAATGAAACGGTTCAGGGGCTGAACACTAAACTGTTCAAAGTGCCCGTGGATGCGAGGAAGAGAAAGACAAAAATTTAAACTTTAGCAGATTTAAAATTAAGTTACATCATGGATTCTACCCAGAGATTTTAAATTACATTAACATTTTAAAGTTATATAACATTTCATGAGCTCTAGAAGTGTCTAGTCAGGTTTTACAGAAATTTGACTTCTCTCATATGAGGCTTCAAATGTCTACCAGTTTAATCAAGCTTTTAGCTTCCTAAAACACTAGCAAATCAGCCTTTTAAATATTGCTTGAAAGTAACTATTGGAATCCAAGCAATATAGGGAATTTAAACACATAGGTTATCTACAGATGATGTACTTTGTTACAAAGAGTCTCAAAAGCCGATACTCCCCCGAGCAAGGGAATAGCCAAGTTTGTTTCGGTTCCCAATGAATGACATGAGCCCCGCGTAGGTCTCAATCAGAATGGGTTGGGTTAACACCATCAGTTCCTCTTCTCTTCCAGACCCAGCAGAATTCTTGTGAGCCTTCTCAATAGCTGGGATGAGCTTGGATGTGAATCCAGACAACTGAAGAACAAAAGGAGAAGCATAAATTTAGTGACTCCAAGACGCTTCTGAACATTCCCACTCAGTCAGCCTCAGTTGGGAATGCTTTTGTTTAACTTTTAATATAGTACTCAGCCAATAAAGAATGCACATAGTAAAATTATCTGTTTTATTTGTTTTCTATTAGTCATAACTTGTAGAACAGCAAGGAATCAACTTAATCAATATTTGCCCATCGTTTGTTATGAATTAGACACTTGTTGGACACTGCTGGATGCTGAAGGCCAAATATGAACATCTGCTGCCCTCAAAGACAAGTGACTATGCTGCAGTCTACAAAGCACATCTGCTGTGGGAAAGCAAAGATCATTATACCAGACAGAAAGAGGGACAGAAATGCCTATGAAGAACGATGTCAAATGCAGACCCTAAGGTCTTTTTTTTTTTTTTGCAGAATTTCCATTGGTATAAATGAGGTTCAGCAAGTCAGAAAAGGCCTAGAGATGGGCACTATGTCTTCCAGCTCAGCCTCCTTCCTGCCACATAGAAATCGTCAGGAAACATCCATGCTTCTCATTACCACAAAGGCACAGACAGAGAAAATACTGAATGTTGTAATTCCAAACCATGTTCCTTAAGCACAATACTTGAGTGACAGTGTGGACCTTTTGTTTCTGGTTTTCTTAATTTTTAGAGGACGACAGACATGAAGATTGCATCTATTTCCTTCCAGTCCCCCAAAGCCTCCAGACTCCTCTCTTGCTTCCTCTTTCCTTCCTAATTAATGACCTCCTCTTTAATTATTATTGTTACACACACAGCACATGTATGTACATATATATGCACCCTTTTAATCAAGTCCATTTATCAGTATATATATATGAATATATATATGTATGTATATATATCTATTGTATACGTGTACAAGGCTGACCGTTTGACATTAGACAACCCTATGTGGGAGCTTGGCCCTGGAGGAAACTGATTCTCCCTCTCTCTCCAGCCATTGGCCACTTGTCTACTCCTTCAAAAAGAGGAAAGACCTTATAAATTTCCCCCTATCCCTGCCAGGATGTCAACTGCTATCATACAGGTCTTGTTAGGAAAACCATATTGTTGAAAATTTCCCATCATGTTTAAAAGACGCCAGCTATAACCAGACATCCTGGTCCGCTGGTTCTTCCAGACTTTTGATCCTCTTCTCAAAGTTACCTGAACCCTAGGTGTGGGGGTTGTGTTGCAGATGTGTGAACTAGGGTTGGGCATTCCAGGGACCCTTAGTCTCTCCGTTTTGGCCAGGTGTGAACCTCTGGAAAAGTCTCCATCTGTTCCACAAGGAAGCGTCTTTGATGAGAGATGAGAACTACATTAACCCGTGTAACTTATACCACAGCTACAAACCACTGTTTGGGAAAGCAAATAGGTGCTATTATTAATAATGTTGCTTTAACAGGTTCCTTTGGGCTGGAGACAGCATTGTAAAAGAAAATGTAAGCCAAGCAGGTAATCTTCTTCAATCCCTGCGCGCAACCCAATGGAATAGCTTTATTCTTTTCATTGTACTTAGAGTCATGTTTTCCTTTAAAAAGAGATTAATAGTAATTAAAATCGTTAAACTGCTACCTAACTTGTTCAGGCCATTATCCAATTTAAAATGTTTTCTGTTTCATTTTCCTTTCCATTTTCAAAGCCAAGTTCAAGACTTCCACTTCCATAATGCCTCCCTATGTAGCCTACTAAAACCGTTCTTTTCTTCTGCGACTGAAGAGCTGTCTCAGAAGTTAGGAGTACTTGCTGCCCTTGCAGAGTACCTGGGTTGAGCTCCCAGCACCCACAGGGTGGCTCACAACCATCTATAACTTTCCAGTTGCAGAGAATCCAACACTCCTTTCTGGCCTCCAACAGCACCATGGTATGTAAACAAAACAGTCATGCACATAAAATAAAAATAAACAGTTTAAAATCATCATCATCATCATCTTCTCTTTCATTTCACTAATATCTCCACTCCAATATATTAACAAGTTTTCTAAGCAGAGGGGCAAGTATGACTTTTACATGTTAAGCCATCACGAGGCTATCACTATTTGGGAATCAAATATAGTTTTACTATGGGGGAGAATACCTTTTACAGTCTGAGAACACAGCATGCTCTGTGTATCTGTCCCTCTGGTACCTCTAGGATTTCTGCTACACAAAAGTCTTTACTCATTCAAATGTCCACTCCCATCCTCTCCCCTCTAGACACACACACACACACACACACACTTTAAATTCCACATATTCTTAGTCATTATCTAAGAACATTGCATTTAGCTTTGCAGTTTGTAGTTTTGGGTCATGCTTCCTTTGCTCAAAATGTCTTATTTTGCCTTGACTCTCAAACTTTGGGACAATCAAAAGGAGACATAACTAAATATCCTTTGGCAATCTAAACCGCCACCTTCTAAGATGTAGGGTGGTATGTGTCTGCAATCCCAATACTCTGGAGACACAGGACAGGAGGAGGAAAAGTTCGGTTCCAGCCTGGACTGTGTACCGAGACCCTAGCTCTCTAAAATGCCTCCCTTCATAATACAAGTAGCATTAAGTACTGGGATTAAATACATGTTAAGTTGTCAACGAGGTACTCACCGGCTGTGTGCCCTTGGGTAAATTATTAAGCCTTCCTGAGTTTCATATTCTCTATCCCTAAAAATGGGTGTACTGATAATATCAAATTCATAGGTAAAACAAGTGAGAGAGATTGGCAATGGTGAGATGCTCAAATAAAGCAGTAGGAGCCAGGGTGAGCAATGAGATAAGGCTGGTATTCAGAATCAATGTAAAAAGCATTAATAAGTTTGTTTCTTACAAACAAAATCATTAGCTCCATCATCATCATCATCATCACCATCATCGTCATCACCATCATCATCATCATCACCATCATCATCATCACCATCATCATCATCATCATCACCATCATCATCATCATCACCATCATCATCATCATCACCATCATCATCATCACCATCATCGTCAAGAAACCACCGCCTCCTAGAAGGTAAAACACAATCTCAGCCTTTCCCTTTGCCAAGGCCATCTGCACTAATATGATGCCTTGTCAGAGGTTAGTATTTGTCCAACAGGATTACTGAACACTACTTCAGCTCTCATTGTAACCGTCACTTCTTGAGAATCCCCTGTGGTCTCAGAATCTAAGGGCTGGAAAGAAAATATTGACACTATTTCATACTCAACACATTGCGTTTCATTGGATACATTTCATTCCCAGCCATGTCTGGAACACTCTCAAAGGGGGTCGGCGTGCTTACAGAGACAAGCTGCTCCTTAAAGGAGTGGCAGACAAAAGGCCATGTCCCCAAGCTGGCTCTTGAGCATTTCAAGCACCTGAACTCAATCTGTGTGACAGGAGCGCTGTGTCATCTGATATGAATGCCACCGGCCACATACTTTTGTCTAAAAGCTTTTATACACCCACCTCTGTCTCCCGCTTTTATTTCTGTCTCAAAAAACATAGGGTCAAGTTTTAACAACTCCAGTTACACAGGGGCCATGTGTTGGTTGGGGGGAGCACAGCAGTGTTCATGGAGGAGGAGGTGCAGTATTCTTGACTTCACAGCCATTATTTACCAGCTGAGTGCCTGGGCCCCTGGTTGCTTCAGGTGTTGTCTGCCAGCAACTCCCGCCTAGAATCTCAGTTTTCTTTATTACAACCATCACTCGCTTCCTGTTTATACTGGGCAGAGAGACCAGGTTTCATGCCTGCAGGTCCACATTCCTTAGCTCGGCAGGTTTTCCTAGCCTTGGGGCCACAGGTTTCAACCTTTCTCTGTAGATGAGAAACAAATCCTCGTTCAATGCTGAAGATATGAAACCACTTGACAAGTTACAATGCTGGCCAATATGTGTGTCATCGGTACACATTTTCTCGGGAATTATCAGTTGCTTTGTACAGACCCTGTAACTGTGGGTAATTTAAAGTGTACAGAGACACAAAAAGATAATGAGACTAAAGTTTCTTTTCTACACAAGAAGTTTCCACTCATTCTGTCTTTCAATTTCATCCTATCCACTCCAGCTCTCCCTTATGAAAACTACACACACACACACACACACACACACACACACAGAGAGAGAGAGAGAGAGAGAGAGAGAGAGAGAGAAAGAGTGAGAGAGAGAGAGAGAGAGAGAAAGAATCACATACATACAACAAAGAAGTCCTTTAGGCTTATACCTAGTTACATGAATATTAGTAACTGCTAAGATGTGGGTGTATATTTATCATTGTATAGTCTTAGCTCGTTTACTTAATCCCTGTGTTTAAGTGTCTTGACTTTTAAAATGAAGATATTTACTCCTATCTTAGATGCTTTGTTAGTGAATTTACATGACAATATCACTCATGCTATAAGCAATAAAGACAAAGTAAAAAGCATATAATACGTAAAATTATCTTTATGTGCTAGGCAAGTACCTTAAATGCAACATAACCTAGTATCCTTCATTTCCACAGTTGTGCATTGTGAGTAGAACATGGCATGTATGCAGATTTGAAAAGATTTCAAGGTGGACAGGTAAGGCAGACTTCTGGAGAGAAGCTGTTTGAGCCCCGTGTTTGCACAACGTGGACATGACCTACACTTCTGATGGGTAACGGGAGGTATCACATTTTTACATCACATGATAGAAACATAAAAGCTGAGTTACACATAGTTCAAATGACTTACAAGCTAATGAATCGACCTATCATTAATAAGTAATGTTTACAGATAGTATAAACTTGAATTTGAACACCTGTGTATATTAATACTTCTCTCTCAAGTACCTTCCTATACTACCTTAGTAACTCAGCCTTGATACAATGATGTAGACATAATTAAGGACATCCATGAGGACCCGGAAAACAGAATAACAATTGTTGATTTGGGGAAAACTTATAATAAGAAAGCTGCCGCTTTCCTCGACTATTAAGTAGTCTATGTTACTTTGCTATTTACCTTAGACTGGACATTTAG